AAGAAATTTCGTCTCTTTATTGTAGTAGATATTAATAATAATTTTGTAAATAACATCGAATTAGATTTCGAGCTTTTTTTTTACTAAATCTACATCATAAAAATGGCACTTCACTTTCATATAGTAACTAAGGTTGAAACGACCAATAAAAAAGAATTCGTTCAATTCGCTTTATGAAATCACATTTTCCAGCAAAATGCGAAAACATTTTGCAAAAGTTTTTCCATCGTTTTGAATACAGAATTATCCAAGCGAGTAGGACAAGATTAGGTGATTAGGTCTATATATCATGAACATGGAAACGAATGTGCTGTATTGTGTGTTGATTTTATATCAAGTTCACTTTCGATTGAAGAGCATGTGCGTTCCTGTGCATTGAACTATGAAGCGACTGAATTTGTCTAGCGGTTATAATTTAAAATACAAATCAATACAGGCTCATGAGAAGCATAGCTCATACAATCTCATAAATTTTGCAAAAAACAAAAACGGTTGAAATTTAAACGAAGTCACTTTATTGCTTTTGTTTCATTTTGAATAATTTGATTCAGTTCACTGATTCGATACGCATTGTCATCTCAATTGACATTTTGACCGTATTAAATCATCGCGACATAATGTATGAAGTATATCAATTTGCCAAAAGCGAATTTCGATATTTGAATATGATCGATGCCAATTCACATCGATATTTATAATTAACATTTCGAATTAATTTTGAACAATACGCGCGCACGCACAACATTTTGCACATAAATTACCCCAAACAAATTCGATTTTACAAAATGAAAAACGCGAAAAGTTAGATGTGGAAACATAAATAATCAGCTACTGTTTGAAGTAAATGAAAAAAATGTTGGGGTGGTTTAGACGATGTTGAATGATTCGATTCGATGAGATGGAAAGAAAGTAATCTTAAAATTTGGTAGCGAAACAATGAATGTAAAGTAGGCGCAAGCTCATTCCTTCGTTTATTCAAGGTCAAATCTCATCACTTATTAAGTAACGCGCATTTCGTTGCTCGTAAAAAAAAGAATAAGTGTGCGTAATTTTTTTTGTCGCTGGTGGTGTCACATCTTATTTTTTCGGCAATCATTTGGTCTGATTTTTGCAAGCCACCAAATTCGCCCAATTATTTATTTTGCAATCGAGAATAAACAACCGAAAAAATGTACATATATTTCTCTATGTGTCTCCTTGCTCGATCTGCTGTTATCATTTCACAATTGGTGCAAATAAGAATTTAACCGAACATACACAGAGGCAGCCACGGCAATAAGAACAACAACATATAATAATAATGTAAACAAAACCGAAATACACAAATGACATTAAACAAAAACACAGACTTTAGTCCAAAACAACAAAAAATAAAAATACATATAAATTGTCATTCAACATGTTTTGATGCAATCTTGTTAATTTGTGCGTAGTTTTGTCTTCTGTTGTTGACGCGTTATTACATTCGGGATTGTTTTTTCTTCTCCTCTTGTTATTGATTCGTTGTCACTTAATTTGATATTCTGGTGTCAGCGATATAATTAAAGATTCACTGTGATAATAAAATTGGACAAGGTGAATGATTACGATTCATTTCTAGCCTTTTTATTGTTACAAACAAAATCGTGTAAATCAGTTAATTGAATCCGTTTATTTAAGAAATCTATGGCCAGAAAATTGGATTTTATACTTACGTCTCGTTTGACGATCAGCGTCATAGTTAATTCAAAGAAAAACTCAAAATAGCTTACCACGTCATAGCATTATATTGTGAGCGCAAATAAAAAGCTTCATAGTTTTTCAATTTCCTCAGCATTTTCATACAACATTTTCAAAGAAGAAATGACAGATTTTTCCCACACATTTTTTCTTTCTGTATGGAAGAATGTTTGTTTGCATAATTTTTCACCTTGATTACAAAAGGTTTGAATGCGAAGACTTATCGACAATAGCATGCTATCCAAGAAAATGCCAATAGATGGCCACAGAAAACCGATTTTCACCTGAAATAAAATTGCTGCTGAAAAAGAAGAAGAAGAAGAAGAGTCGTCTCTAAGGTAGACAGTGGCTGGAATTCTGAGAATAAAAAAGTCATGTAAAGAAAAGAACAAGTTGTTTTTTTTTTGCTTTTTCATTTTATTTTTTGTATATTTGCCATGAAACACACACAATCACATAGATAATAAATTTAATGTTTGTTTTTCATCAGTATTTTTAAATTTTGTATTTTTTATCATTTTTTTTTTCTTCTTGTTGTTGTTTGTTTGTTTGTTGTTGTGTAATATTTTCTTTTGAAGGTGTAGCATTTTTGTTTTCTTAATCCATAATAGTAAATAGTATATATGTATAATTATGATCCAATAGGCTAAATTATCTGTCGATGGGGGAATGTGGATGGATGGTTTTTTTTTTGCAAAAGAAAACGCATTGCTGTTGGTTTATAATATTATTTCATTTAAATTTCATCTCGGGGGAATCGAGAAAACCAGAGACAGACAGTGAGGGTGAGCCAGCTTTTGCGAAAAATAAAACACCATCATCACATATACACTCATCAGAGACATCGTCAGATAATCGAAAATTGTTGTTGTGTTTTTTTTATTCTTTAATATAATAATAAAATAATAGATTGTAGTTAATATAGCAATAATTTTAAGGTATTAATATATAAATCCATTCACAGAGACACCATTTTGTAATGTGTTTTTTTTGTTTTAAATATTTGTTTAAATTTTTGTTTGTTTTTTTTTCGTTTATATCATTTAACATAGTAAAAATGTGTTTCTTTTATCAAGTCAAGTTCTCCCAAATGAATGGCGACAATTACAATTTGGAATCTCTGCAAATTTTGATAGGTTTCTGTGTTTCCTCTCCTTTATCTTTTCATTAGCCACTTTCCACCTTCAATCTCACACTTTTCTTTGTTTTCTTTTTTACGCTAACAGTTTGATTTCGTTGGCTCTCTGTGGTGAAGAGCTGTTGAAATGGATGTGATTTTTGTTTTTTTATAATAAATGTTTGTGTAATCAATATAGCCCTAATTAAAGATTCACACAACAAAGTTGTGGGCTATATACTGAAAATCAATTTGTTGTTTGTTTTTCTCTCTCGTAAATTTTTGGGAGGCGATCACCATTCTGTTTTGTGGTTATTGTTCGTGGATGTGTGTGTATCGCAATATTCTCAATAATAAGATCAAATATGATTTTCTCATTGTCTACATTACAACGTGATTCTCTGAACCTCTTATTTCTCTCTCTCTCTCTCTCTTTTTGCTATATTTGTAGTGTCTTTTTTGTTATGATCTTTTAACATAAATGTTGCTGTTGTTATTTTCATAAATTTTGTGTTTTGAATTTTGTTTTTTTTTTATTTAGTTTTATTTTTCTATATTCTATACCTAATATGTACACATCCAAAATTAAACACACACATACAGAATATACAAAAAAGAGGAAAAAATATGTGTTTTGTGTGATTCGAATTTGAAGATTTTCAAATAGTTTCATAAAATGTTTCTTCTTTTACGCCGTACACACACAAGAAGTGGCGCTCGCCGATAAATGTTTGACGTTTGAGTGATTATTGTCACTACAAATGTTTGGCTACACCATCATCATTGTTTTCTTTTTGTTTCATTCTTGTCATTATTTTCAGAGTTCATTTCACTTCGTTGCAGTAATACGCGCACACACATACGCACGGTGGCTTCGTTTTATATCTTTTATATATATATAAAATCGCGCGATTAAAACACGATTTGGTTTCTTCTATTTGTTTTTTCTCTTAATTTCCAATGACATTCCATTCTTAATCACTTTCAGTTTCAATTGTTTAATCTAAATTGCTACTATTTGGTATATATTTTCATTAGTTTCATTTTTTTTCGCATGATTTTTTTTCATTTATCATTCGATTTTTTATTAAATTTTATTCAATTGTCGTGTCTTACCAACACAGATTTAAATAAGTTTTTCAAGAATAATTTAGGGTTGAAATTCATCTACACAATCAGATTTTTTTTTTAAATGTTTTTCCTCACTTAAAAATGTTCAGTTTTCTATCAATTTCTCCTATTATCGTTTTCAAAATACTATGGAACGTAGTCATTTACCATACAATCAATTTCAATAAAACGTCGAGTCGTTTTTCCATCGGTTTTGTTGCTTAGTAACATGTGGTTGTGTCTGACAGAAAAATTCATAAAATATGTAACAGCGAGCTTTTTCGTGTGTTTGTTTCTGGTTGGTTTTTGTTCAAGCAAAATTTCGTTCGGATCAAGCGAAGGAGTAGAAATTAAGGGAATTTTTATGTTGAATGACTAAATTTGGGGGGGAAATGAACATTTTCACCAACAATTTCTCACACATTCGAATACTATTCACTATTTCATCGGTTCTGCGCGCCTACTTGAGAATACATGCATCCATTCCTATTCAAATTATTTCATATCAATAAATGTATCATATTTACACCAATGTAATCTTTCAATTACTTTGTTTATATTTCGGCTTATTTAATACGAGTGTGTGTGTGTTGTTGTTGTTTTTTTTTATTCATAATATATGGTGTTTGTGTTTTTTCTGTTTTGCAAATACGCTAAAAATATATGCATAACGATTTGTCCAGTCCCTAATTCAATTCAATATACATGTAGAAAACGAAAAAGAACAAAAAAAACATTAGCCGTAAAAGAAATCACCGTAATATTAAACGAAAAACTTCAAAGAACAAAAAAAGCACGAAAAGAAATTTATTGAAGAAAAAAAAAGAAGAACATAAAACGAATTTTCAAATTTATTCAGTTTGGTGCGCTTTCGAAGACGCGATAATAATATACACGACACTCGTCATCATCTATATAGAGTTTAATTCAATGTATGAGAGTTGATTGTTTTTCTCTGTGTGTGTTATTTATAATATTTCATAATTTACATTTTCTTTGCCGTTTATACGATATGAATACGAAAAGCTATCTTACAGGATGAATTCCATATGGGTTTTTTTTTCTGTGTGTATTGTTTTGATTCGATTATATGCATATTTAGTATCATCTAGAGAAAACAACTGAAAGAAAAAAAAAACTTTGTTTCCGTGTATTTTTTTGGTTTCTTTTTGTTTCCCATTCTGTTGTATATTATTGAAAGGTGAAAATATGAAGTGAATAATAGCACTTGTTATACACACAGACACTCTCAACATGTGTTTAAATCAGTGAACTTTTGGTATATTGTATTGATGAAAAAAAAGAAGAAATTAATGAGCGGCAAAAACCGAAACGATGAACATTTCAAATTGGTCTTGTAAAATTGATGATGGCGAATTTGCATCAACGAGCAAAGCGCATACTTTTTTTTTGTCGATTTAAATAAATTTAAAAGAATCTAATTTCTATGTAAATTATATAGGCACGCAACGCACGCACTCTCACTTCAATCATTCATGCACATATACATGATAATACATACAAAATTGGAGCTTCGCTGATTTATGCTGTTGTTGCTTTTCTGCTGCTGATATTTTCAATAAATAAAATGCATTTCCGTTTGATTCATATATTTCTTTTCTCTTCACCTAGCTCTCCATCTCTCATCAAATTTCGAAATTTTTGTGGAATTTTCGTCACTTTTTATTGCATCTACTATACAAATAAAATCTCCTATATGCTTAAATGTCTCTTTCTCCGTCTCTATTTAAATATATATATATTTATTATGCACTTTAAATTAAATTAAATTATCCATGTTTCGTTCTCTTCATCATATTTCTTAATAAACAGTAACTAATTGATGTACGCATAGAGATAAACTACTACGAAAACGTATGCTTGTTGTGTGTCGGTTGTTTTTCTATAAATGTTCTGATTTTTAAGCTTGCTATATTACACAAATTTATCGAAACGAAATGATGAATGTGACTGCTTGTTCATATCATGAATGAATCTCCGTTTGTTTTTAGTTAATTAATTCTGAATGTTTTTGAACATAATTTTCGATGAATTTACAACATAATCGGAACTGCGTCATTTATTTTACTTTATTTTTAAGAGTCCTTGTCTTCGTATGAATTATCGAATTCAAATGAAAAGAAAAATGTGTTTATTTTGCAAATGAGTTTGCAACAATTTGAATGAAAGAAAAAACAAAAGTTATGCATGTGAGTGTTTGTGTGTGTGTATGTGTATATATGAATTGAATGATTAGGATATACTTTTAAGAAACGCTACGTATAAATGTTTATAATGTGTGTTGTGTTTGTTTAATTTTCATTTGTTTAAATGATTTTTATTTACAAAAAGAATAATGAATGAGGAATCCCTAGTTTTTGTATCGAATAAAGAAGAAAAACCGTCAACCAACAAACAATTCAGGTCTTTCGAGGCGCGTGCACGCACGCAAAAGAGAGAAAAATGAAATCACCCTGTCAACACTATGCTGTTTTTTATTCTCTATCGTACTCATTCATTTCTGTGTGTCTGTGTATTTTTTTTGTTTTTGTTTCGTTACGCACTAGCAATAAAATCAAAAAAGTATAATATATTCATAATAAGATGATAATAACTATTTTGGGTAGTTTATCTAGACGAGTGTGTGATTATGTTTTCTCATTTTTTTAATTATTTCTTTTTATATTTTAACTTTTTTTAGCTCCTACTTGTTGTTGTTTTTTTTTTAATTTAAATTACGTTACTTCGTAGATAACCCATCTTCTCTATCGGGTTTGTGTATGTAAAATCTAACATTTTTCATAGATTAATAAACAAGGCATAGACCCTTGGCTAATAAACTTTGAAAATAAAAAAAAAATTGAAAATCGTTTGTTTTAAATAAGTATAAGGTATGTTTGTTGTCTGTGTAATAATTTTTTGTTGATTTTATTTTATTTAAAAAAAAGAGAGAGAAAAGTATTAAAATTCAACTTTTTTCCACTTTTCACTTGTGTGAGTGTATTTTATTCTTTTGCTCAGCAGCATAAGTTTGCATTCATTTATGCATTGTTCTTCTTATAAAAAAGAATCGATTGTTTTTTTTCTGTTAAAACTTAAACAGAAAGTAAAATTGATGGGAAGAGATCTTCAAATGATGTGTATTAGATGTGTGTGTTTGTTTTTTTTACTCATTTGCCATTAAATTTATTTCACTAAGTTTGTAACTTTCATATTAATCAAATAATTCAAAAAAAGTAATTACTTAATAGGTTCAATTTCTTTTGTGTGTATGTGTGTGTTCTTTCATTTTTCACATTCTCAATCGTCGCGCATCTATGTGGTTCAGATTGTAAATATTCACTAAGTTTTTCATTAATTTATACATAATAATAAAAATGTCGTTTCTAACTCTTATTTAGGTAGTTTAAAGTTTAAACTTGTTTATCAATCATGCTGTTCTACTTTCTTATGCGTCGAACGCACTCAATTGTTTCGTTTCAATGTGTCCACACACACACATATATATATATTTCGAAATATTTTAAAAGTGTATGTTCATAAATTAATGCTTTGTGGCACTTACATGCACACACTTCGGTTTCTTTGACTAATCATTCGTTTTTACGTTTTCTTTTTCGTTCATATCAGGGTAAAAAGAAGAAAATACGCACCATAGTTTCTTTGCACATTGGATAAAATTAAGCCCATTTTAATGAGTAACGATAAAATCAATATCGCAAAGTGTCTATGTGGTGTATATATGTGTGTGTGTGTGATTTCCATTACATCTTCGGCTTTGATTCTCACATATCGTTTGTCTGTACACAATGTTTTTGTTTGTTTGTTTAGTTTAAATCATTTTTTGATTGAGACAACAAAATCAATTTGTGCTCACCGTGCGTGTGTGTGCCAGGTCCGAAAGCTACTACTTTATATTTTTCAATTATAATATTTCACATCGGCACCCAAAGTTCATGCACAATACCAACTATTTTTGTTTGTGTCTGCACTGTGTTCAATATAGTTGTTTTTTTTTTTTTTTTTAATTAATCATCTATCTTCTCTGTATTGATTTCTGTTCTGTTCTAGTTTTTAATTTTGTTTAGTTTAAGTTAAAAATTAAATTAGTGTATACGCACTTTTGCTTTGTTATTGTTTAAAAGCAGGACGATAGTTGATGCTGCACAGGTGATGGTGACTTTTTCGATAGATTTAACGGCTGTAGCAACGATACCATGGTTGATCGTAGCATTGGATTGTCTTCTTCATCCATTGATGCGGTTGAATTTGGCATAGCCGGTGATGTTGATGAGGTTGAGTGCGGTGACGATGATGTTGGCGATGACACATCATTCTTGAGCCGAACATCGACACCATCTTGAATCATATCATCACGAATTGGAGCTGGTTCTGTATTGACACAAGAAAAATAGAAGAAAAAAAAAATTCGAAAAACCAAATCGATTAGTTTTCAATTGCGGACTTTATTTATTGTGTGAATTCTTTTTTTTCTTCGAACGGAATATAATTTCAATGGAAATAAAAAAACGAACGAATAGTTCCGATTTAACGTTAAACTAACAAACAAATGATACGACAGATTACATTATGATTACTTACCTGTATTGTGACGCGTCGTTGTGATGACCGACAATGTGGTACCGTTTTGCCAGCGATTCGTTGATGCGCCAGTGTATGGACATTGTTTTGGTGGCATTGCATTTGCATTCAATGGTGAACTTCGATGTGAATTCGAACCGGATGATAATGCACACACTAATAGTCCACCTTGTGAACTAACACGTTGCTGTTGTTCAACTTGTGATTCACGTTTAATATAGGATGTAATAATGTCGCTTCGTTTCATTTGTTCAGGTGTCATTCTTGGCTCTTCCATCAATGATCTGGCCAACACTGAATGTGTACTTGACAAGGAAGACTGATGATGATGTTGTTGATGATGATGATGAGTAGGCGCACTTGAGCTATGCTGATGACTGTTTGGCCTTGTTAAATGCATGTGTAATTGACTAAAAAGCGAATTGTGATGGAGAGAAGAAGAAAAAAAAGACATATTTCCAGGTCAAAAAATGCGATAACAAACAAAGAAAGCTTATTTCTGCATTTCGTTGATTTGCATTTTCGAATCAAGTGCTGCATTTCAAGTGGGACTTTTGCAATCGAAAGTAAAGTTTTTTTTTTGTATAAAATGAGCACTCACCTTTGATGTGGATTTGTTTGTGGTGGCGATAGAGCTGGTTTTTCGCTAATGGTTTGCGATTGTGGAGGTTCATTCAAATGTGATTGTTGTTGGTGTTGGTGTTGTTGTTGTTGCTGCTGCTGTTGTTGTTGCTGTTGTTGTTGTGTTGTCGATTGCTGTTGTTGGCTATGTGTTGAATGATGAACTGAATCGGCTTCGGCCTCATACTCTCGATGTCTCAATGCACGGAATTTCTTGTGCGGTTTGTATGCTTCATCCATCAATGAGTTTGTGTCATAAAGTGGTGGTGCCTGAAGTACACGTTTTAATACGGGCATATCTTCAGCAATAGGCCGTTTCTCTTCATTCATATCATCGACCGATGAACGTGGACTCGAGCATGATGATGATTCACTGCTGGCCGCTTTGTGATCAGCTTTTTCATTACCAGATTCGATGCCCGAATCGGTTGGTGAATCCAATTTGCGATAGCGAATGTGATGACCGGCTGTTGTTGAACGTACCACCGGTGTTATTGTCAAACCATTTTGTGTTAAATGATGTGTGCCAACGATATCATCTTCAGCTGATGAACCAGAATTGGCGCGTAATCGCATTGGGCAACCACCGGCCAAAGTAGCGGCCAACAATGGTGCCGATTGTGATAGTGACTGTGAATAATCGGATGCTGTGTCACCAGATTCAGTACTTGAAACAGATCCCTGCCATTCAAAGTATAATCAATTGCCACATTTTAGTCAAAAGAAATTTATACATAGTCACTTTTGTGGCATTTTTTTTTTTGTTTTTTTTTTTTTTTTTGTTTTTTGTAATAAAATCACTTAAAATAGATATATAGAAATATAGTTGAACTTACCATTGGACTCTTTGTGACTTCTTCAATAACTTGATCGTTGCAACCCCATGGACTTAAACCGGAACTTTTGCTTGATTCTTCTTCCATTGACCACATTTGTTGGCGCAACATTTCTTTGTGTTCGGTACGGAAAACGACCAATTTTTCGGTGTGCAATGTGCTGAGCGTTCTCAAATCGGGTAGCAATTTCAGCAATTCCATCATAAAATCTGGGTCGTCTGGTCGATTTTGTGAGATGACCGTTTGTAAGCAACCCTTCAGTCTTGAATGCATTTTTTCCACCAATTCAATGTTACGTAAACCTGGACGATCAGCAGATATTAAAACAATTGCACAGAATAAACCGATTTCGGAATCAGATAAGTTCATTGCATTCATGCGTTCAGCAAAATTGAATGTTGAATCGACCAAAAAACGAGCATTCGCTCCATTTTGTATTGAATTCCGTCGCATTACTTGACCATTCAAGCAAATTATACTGTTTATTGATGTGTCAAACATGCAAATTAAACGCACAAACAATGCATCAAATAAGCCGGCTTTAAGCAATGTAAATTTATCATCCTGTGTGAGCAATTGGAAGCCGGGAATCATACCGGCAAAATCGATAACACCACGAATCACATGAGCGAAACGCTGTGAAAATTCCTGTTCGGATTGAAGTTCTGGTGCTGGATTCAATGGACATGCCTGTTAATAAATAAATAAAAAGAACGAAAATTAATTTGACATTAAAATGAAAACGACAAGAGCTGTTCGGATCGGAAAACATTTGAATGAACATATATCGAATTCGTCGTCTGGGTTTTGTACATAGGAAATAAGTAGTAGTAATAGGATAGAGTGCAAAAAAGCACACAATTGACATTCAAAATCAAACGGTATTGGAGACTATAACCACCTTCTATATATATATAGTATACAATGTAGCCGACAAATATATTCGTTATGTGGTGGCTGACGCAACAGCTAACCTTGACAATGTATTTGCATATACATCATTAGAGCGAGCGAGGGAGCGCGAGTGAGCGTAGCGTAACGTAAAACAACACAGACTTGTTTTACGTATAGACAGAACAGAACTGAGAATATTTTTTTCTACTAGTAACGGTTTCTTTTCGTCGGTTCCGCATAACGACGCAATCAAATTGCAAGTTGTAGTTAGTTTGTCTGATGCTTTTTTTATTGTTGGTATTTATTTGTTTTGTTTAACAGAAAAAAAACGCTTTCGATTCAAAGGAGACGAGAGAAGAAGAAAAAAAAACAATCGAGCAATGTTGTTTGCACATTTGACTCTTTCATCATTCAGCCGAAAATTGATGAGTGTGATTGAGTCATTTTAGAATTTCTGGAAATCATGTGTTTTTTTATCGACTTGTTTGTTTGCACATTTATGATATGATGAGGGCAGATGCGTATGATGTTTTTTACTTCTGTTTCTTCTTATTTCATTTTCATTGACAGCTCAGAAAATGAAAGTTGCGCCATTCTTTTTTTTTTATTAATATTACATGTTTATATATAAATTTTGTTTTATTGTATGAAATACAGGCGCATATGCAAATGGGTGTCGTGGCAATTTCAAAATCCAAAAACGAAACGAAACTAAAAATGTAACGATGAAAAATTGGAATGACAAGGTAAAAATGCGAAAATTTTATGACATTTCAATGCACCTTTGGTGCAAATATTTTTTGTTTTTTGGGCCACACGTTTACGAGAAAAAATATGTCAAATACGTACGTTAATATAGTTGTTTTTTTTTATATAAATACAAAGTGAAAAAGCATATGGCGTTTGCAAACACTTTAGGTTGACGTGTCTTCGTCATTTCTATATGGTTTCGATGATTTTCCGCATATTATCAGCGGATAACAACTACAAACGCACATCCAATTGTTCAATGGCACCAACAAAATAAACGACCAACTATTAAAAATGTAATGTGTTCGTGCACACAAACCGACCACATAGGCACAATTTTACTAAGTGCACAAAATGGACTCAAAATCATCATATTTATTACATGCAAAAAAGAAGAAGAAGAAAAAAAACAGCAAATATAAAAATCGAAAAAAAAAAATCCAATCGACAAAGCTAATATGAATAATAACAGTAATACGCTCAGGTTTTCAAAATGTGGTGAAAGAGGGAAAGAGTACGGAAAAATGTACGCGAGTCAATGTCGAGGTCACACATTTATAATTTGTACGAGCAACAGCAAGCGCACATACAAGCGATAATTCAATTGAATGAAAAATATTTGAATTCATAATCAGTATGTGATATCAACTCCAAACAATTTCAACTCAACTCTCTCTTTTTCCTGTGTTATCATTTTCGTAGATAGTAATCAACCGTTTCTAACCCCGAATGAGCACCGAAAAGGCTGAAAAAAAAAAAAACAATTGAAATTATGCCCCCCTCTCACGTTGATTTGTAAGAATGCCATTATTATCGAATGAATTGCATTAATAACGGACGGATAATTGTGCTTAAAAATCGGTATTGTTCATCCATAATAAAAATTAATTTGATTTACATTTCATATAAAATAAATGCAATCGAGCACGAGTGGCATTTTCACCGTTGTGTAATTATATAAGTTCGCTTTTAAAAAATGAGTATGCAATTTTTTATTTATTTTAGGTAAGTTTGGTTGGCACGTGTAACAAGTTGTGCGCATTTACCGTGGCCGTTTGCTGCACTATCCCGATAAAACTGCATGGGCATAGTTGCTTGGAATGTAATGAGTGAATAGCTGAATTAAAAATATCGATACATTGCCTCGCGACTTTGGAAGTTGTCCTTTTCGTATTTTGTACCGACATACGATTGAAGCGATTATGAAAATCAAAATAAAGTGAAAGAGAGTGAGTGTTATTCTTACACACACATACTCTCTGTGTGTATATCCCCTTCTCTTCCTCTATCATACTCCCTATGTGACTAAGTCGCACATCATAGACGTATATTTGAGAAATGTATGTATATTTGTTTTGTACAAATATACTTATCAATTTATCCGCTTAACCTTGAAAATCGTTTGTTATTTTTTTTTTTGCGTTCTGCCTTCGCTTCTTTTCGACGATGTCAGCATTGTTGACGTTTGCGATCGTTAATTTTCGCATTCGATTTTGATCACAAAATTGCGCGAACGTGTGTGCTAACTTTGCGTGCACACCGAACATCCATATCAAAATCGAAATCATCGAGATGAAGAGCTTTTTTTCACCACACATTCATTGTTCATGTGTACATTTTGTGATATATTCTTGAAATTAATTCAATTTTGAACCTTTTGAAAAGTGTCATATTTTGTTCAATGTGAGTTCATTCTTATTTTAATTTTTCGTTCATTTGTCTTGTTTTTTATATTGTTCCCTCTCACACTCTATGTGCGCTCATCTCTGTTTCGCGTAAAAATATTCAATTAAGAATGGCGCATATCACATTCAATATCACCTTCATCATCCTGCCATTCATTCGCGTCGTATCTGTGTATCCAAATTGACCGTTGCCTTGCGATGGAAAAATGGAGTTACACGTGTTGAATTTGATAAAAAAAAACGTACGAAGAAAATATATATAGAGAGAGAGGGAGAGCGCGCTGCAGACACGAATAAATCTACACGTTGCCATTGTCGTCTGTGTCGTTGTCAGTATTCAGTCCGATTGCTTGGACTCATCGACTTGGTAAAATGCAGAGAAAACACGTAATTGTAGTTATCGTCTTTTTTAGGTAATTTGTTGTCGATACAGCAAATCTCAAACATTAAAAATGTTACACGCGCAAACGTTTAATCGTGCGATTCAGCTTACTGAAATATATACATGTATTATGGGAAAAATGGCAACAACAACAAAACAGCAACAGTAGTGGCAAGCACATAGCAAACGCGCGATAAATACCGCTAGGCATGTATGTATTCGACTATTTGCCGCAACATGTATGTGTGTCTAGTGTTTCGTGTTATTCCAGGAAATGGGAGATAGAATACTTAACGAATTTATTTCGCTGTTCACAGTGAAAAGAAAGAGAAAACAAATGAATGATCACGTTGATTTGTGTGTATGTAATCTAATTGGATGATGCACGTGTTTTGGATCGATGTGGGTGGATGTGAAATATGTTCAAAACCAACCGGAAAGCTTGTTCTGGTGTCATTATTTGACACCTCTATTTGTTTCCAATTCGAATCAAATTTCGATCATTTTTGACATGCAATCAACTAATCGACACGATCTCTGTTTATAAAATTGAAAAAAAAAAACCAGAATTGTTTACCGTTCGAACGACGCATAAAATGGAAATCATTTATTGATTGGACTTTGAACAAACAAGTAAAATCTATTATCCACCGCGTGTTGGTCAAATGGATTTAGAATCGAACCATTAAATGTCAATTGAATGAACAAAAGCAGCCGTTCGATATATAAAATATCGAAAATGTAAAATGAAGTAATCGAAGCGCCGTTGCTGTGTGATATATGCTCTCAGGGTTCTTAAAGACTATATTTATTGTGAGGCGTACGTATGTGTGGATCGGCATGTGTATGCCAATTCTATTCGCCATATATCTCATATGAATCGTTGCGGCGAAAGAGTAGCTCTTATTTTTCTCCAAATAATACTGCAACATAAAGTTTTTTATGAATAGTTTATTTGTTGTATTACAACAAATAAACCGTGTGAAAAAAACTTCATGTTGCAGTATTATTTGGAGAAAAATAAGAGCTACTCTTTCGCCGCAACGATTCATATATCCGAGCGATGATTGTATGAGAGTGAGGAGAGCGGGTGTACATTTGCACAAAATGTTATAAATATACAAAAAAAAACGCGTTATTACTAACGTTTAAACCTTGAAATTGAAAATTTATATGTCGGGGAGGCTTTTCTCTCTCTCTCTAACTTTGTTCCTTCTTTCGCGTGTGTTTTCTTTTTTATTTTAATCTTCGTATTCTTTCCTTTTTAAATAATTTGACATTGAAAATTGAGGAGATGGAGACACATAATAACAACACATATACGATGAAATATATATGCGTCGTTACCAATGGTTCTGTTTGGCTCGTGTACTTCGAGCTCTCACTTGGCCGAGGCAAAATCTTTCTTTGATCGGTTGTTATTTAGCTGTTGTTTTCTGGAAATGTGAGAACACAAGATTAACAATATTCCGACACTCAACCATCAGGATATATCTGTACATATAGCCGAGTGCCATTATAGTATTTGAATTTAAACATACACACACAGTTGTTTGAAGCGAATCATTTGTTGAGCGTGCGACATTTATAAAAATAATATAGAAACGGTGTTCGGCTATGTTGCGCAATATGACAAGCCCCCCGCGCCAAATTACTCTCAACCGATGATTTTTTTTTGTGGCTTTGTTGTTGTTGTTCACTGTTGAAACGGAAAACTTATCCCATCTTGGTCATGTATACGCACATACCGTTACGTATAACTAGAGATTGTTATCAGTGAAGAAAATATTGTGTGGGTTATTATCACTGCCATGGAAATGGATAATAAAAATGTGTGATTATTTAGCATCAAGTATATGGTTTTTGTGTTATGCAATAGCGACTATTTTTATAGCAAACGGTGGAATCACATAAGTCTTTGGCATGGAATTTTATTGGCCTGTACATGCCAACGAAAACTGATAACGTCAATAAGTCAA